GGTGTGACACGACCGTACGGTAACAATGTGGACCTGTGCCGCCTACATGCCGCATTAGGTAATGACAGAAAGCTGGACGTAGCCGGTGTTGTAGAAGATTGAATGTTGGTCTGAGGAGGAGAGAGAGAGAGAGAGAGAGAGAGGTGGAGTAAATGATGCTGAGGGAAAGATGGAGACGCCGAGAAGTGAGAGAGAAAGAAAGAAAAACAAAGCAGAACTGAGGCCCTTCGGCAGCTGCATCCAGCCACGGTACGAAACCCGACGTGTTTTGCATTCAGTGAGTGCTGCATTACAGCCCGCCTCCCACTGTGACTACTGTAAAACCAATAAGAGTGAGGTATCATGGGATTGTGCTCCAGAAATATGCAGCAATCTTTAGCGGCGATGGGGGAGCTAGGAGAGGGGATTGAGAGATACAGTGGGGCTGGTACACAGAACAGCTTCTATTAAGTATTGAACCACCAGCACTGAGCAGTAACTGCTCCTCTGCAGTTTTCCATTTTACTACAGATTCTTCCCTGTAGCTTTTGTGCGAGTCACTGCTCTGCTACACAGAAGGGGTTTTACAATTTTATCTGGAAGAGGCTGCTGGGGGTACATAGTGTGAAGCGCTTTATTTGTCACTGAACATGTTTGCCTGTCTGACTGAAGGCCTGGTGCTCCAGCGGCCAATGGTAGATTTCTAAAGTCAGTCAACAGCCAAAAATGTGATCAAAACCAAATTAGAGAGCCACAACTAGCTGATCTCACCACCACAAATGATATCACTTTACAAGGTTTCTAGCTTTAGCTACTAAACAGGTCAAGAGCCTCTACAGTGATGTCACACCTGTCAGATCTCCCTCTGCTTGGCTGGACCCAGTCTGCAGACTTACTACCTAGTTGGACCAACGTCTGTGGGGAAATCCTAAGCAAAAAGACACCTGCCTAAAAACACATTGATCCACAATCTTTGAGGATGAGACTAGCCATTCTGCAGATTAAAACAATTGTGTACTTCTTATGTTTTCCTGTGATTTTCCATGCACAAGTTGTTGGCAAAAATTAGATCCAGAACTTTATTGATATTTGAATCAGTGGATATTTCTCTATGGCAGATCCCATTGAGATCAGTGGATATTTCTCTATGGCAGATCGAGAAATTAATTAGATCGAGAAATTTAATTTTTATACATATTTAACATCTTTGTTCAATTATCACCTGAAATGATAGAAGTGCTATTCAGCCATAACATAAACAAAGCACTAAGATAACAAATAGAAAATGACAAAAAACATATCTTTCAGTATTCTGACCTATAGAAAATAATAACATTAGCCTCCTGCTTTTTTACTGAGGCTTAACACAGACCTGTCTGTGGATCAGTGGCTCTGATACCATGCTGGAAATTGGATGATGGGGCCCGTTAGGCTGCCTGAGCCTGATAACTCCTTCACCAGATAACAAGCGTGAACAGACAGGAAACATAGGTAGAGTGAAAAAGATCCCACCTGTAATGTTTTGTACAGGCACAGGACAAATACAGAAAAAAAAAAAATACAGGCTGTGTGTTCCTGTACGTGTGTGTGTGTTGTTCACCCCAAACAACAGGAGGGAAATGTTCCTTGGTGCTCAGTTAGCATTTTGAAAAATGACATGAACAGCCAAAGCAGCACCTCTTGCTGTGTAAAGAAGAAGAAGAAGAAGAAGAAGAAGTAGGCAGGGTGTAATATTGGCAGGGGCTGAAGAAGATGAGTCATGATGTTTTTAATGAAAGCGCCCGCGGCGTTTTGTGCAGTTGTGGTTGCAACCTCCCGCACATTGTTATCTCTCTCCCTGTATCTCTCTCCTTAGTAAAGAGGCAGCGGTGGACTTCTCAGGTCCTGATGGGCAGAGTCACACTAGAGCCCATGAGAAGACAGACACCTGGTATAGGAGAGGAGACAACGGAAGCTGAGGAGAAGACAAGGCCTCGTCGCTGGAAGGAAAGTTATGAGATGATAATATATTTCCATAGTCAACCAAATGACAAATATACATAAAAGACTGAGAATTGAACTTGGTCTCAGTCACATAAAGCCCCTAAACATTCAATAAACACAAGAATGCATCTCTAGCTCATTTGTAGGTAGCTATCTACCAGCTAACGTGTCAACCTGAAACGAGCAGTTACCCACCGACTAAAATAGAATTAACATATCCATCTAATACAGCGGACTGTAACAATTCATAATTGTAAAGGAATTAAGCCAGTGGCTCTCAAACAGTGGTACGCGTACCACTGAGCGCTCGCTAGTGGTAAAATTCATGCACAATGAATACAACACTTAAACATAAACATCTTTCTAAACATTTCTAAACATCTCTCCTGTGGTGGAAGCTAACAGGGAAGGCCTATGCTGCTATATTCTAATGTTGGTCATCATGGTGGTACTCTGAGAGCTCAGTGTTTTCTCAGGTGGTTTACAGTTTGGTAAAAGTAAAGGTAAAAGGTAAAGTTTGAGAACCACTGAATTAAGCAACAGCTTTATGATTGTATACGTGGACAAAGACACTGGTCCAAACAGAACTATGTTATTATAGAATTAGCTGAAGGGTGAAAATTAGCCTGAATAGTTGTTCTGCTTTGAAAAGAAAAGGCAAAAGAAAATAAATGTTAGATAAGAAAAATAGCTTCCATCAGTGTGGAAATGAACCAACAGTAAACTGAGAGTTAACATAGAAAGTAAATATTAATTCAAATACACGTCAATCAAATAGGGTTATTTTAACATGGATTAACATGGGGATTTTAGCCACCCGTATAAAAAATGTAAGCAGTAAAGTCATGTTGTGATTAAACATCCTTCACATTGGCATTTTTCTCCAATTGTGTTAAAGAATATCCAATATATTCTTCTGCTTTGTAGAAGTTGTTTTCACACACACACACAAAACCACACACAGTAAGAGGCTCATTATCGCCCAGTGGAACATGAATTAAAGGCCACCTCTGTCGACACATCTCTGGTTCCCAGGTGGGCTGAAGGTGTGAGGAGAAATGTCTCGGCTGGACAATTTTCTCTGTTTTTTTTTTTTTTTGTTTTTGTTTCAGTTCTGATTTTCTTAATTGAACCTTAACATAATGTGAACAACAGCCCCAACCTCGCAGGTCAGGATTTAAATATATCAAACAACAAACCAAAATAATTTGAAAACCTTATCAGTCTTTTAAAAAAGACAGGTAAGAAAAACACATTTGTGTTCAGAACACACAAAACGGGCGAGAAATGTTATTAAATGTTCTTTCCTGTGGTAAGGTCACTCACACGTTTCTCTTTTATTTAGTTATTTATTTATTTAAAATCTAATTTTTAAAAAAAAAATGTTTTGCCTAGAGAAAGTGTTCTGATAGCAGGGTATCAATGATGTCATAACAGTGCCTCCTAGTGGGTGTGGAGAATACTTGCACCTTTTCTCTTAACTCGTCTGAGTTAAAGAGCTTATATATATATATATATATATATATATATATACACACACACACACACACACACACACACTTGAAATGCAGACGTATTTTTGTTGGATCAAATAACACATAGCGATGTGTGTCACATTTCCAGTCAGTTGTATAATAACTGCCCAATCAAACGACCTTCATGTTTCCAGGCAGCCTTTCAAATGTCAATCTGAACACAATGCATGTCCGTGTTAATGAGCACCTCACTGTAATTATGTAGATTTGACGTAATTAGCCAAGAAACTTAATAAGCAGTTGCAGGTCAATGTCAGATAATGAGCTTCTCGCTGTGAGCACATGTTTTACCCACTAAACCGAGACACTTTCTTTACATTTAAACGAACATACAATGGGGAAAAAAAGAAGAAAAAAAAAACTCCCAGAGACTTTATACATTAAGAAAATTACACACGGCTTATTTTTTGTTTAGTTTTCAAATCTCTCTTTTAGATTAAAAAAACACAATTAGTATCAGACGCCTCTGCTCTACCTGCCACAAACACGCCTTGCTGCTTCTATTTTGGCCACAGTCACCTGTTGACCTGACAGACAAGTGTCAGGGAAGAGCGCACCTGTCATCTGCAGGTGGACCCTCTCAGCAGGAGGCCATGCTGTGACGCTGCCTGGCACAGTTGGAGTTCAGGATAACAAGCACTGAGGGACTGCAGGTAAGGGGGCTTCTCTTTTTTAAACTCCTTTTCTCCTGTGGTTTTGACCTGTATTTGGTGTCTTTTTTTGCTGCGTAAACTAAAGAGATTAGAGGATGAAGAGTGACTCGAATTCCCTCTGATGATTTATAACCGGTGTTGGGATTTTTTACAGTATGTGGGGAACAAAGCTGCAGCAGATTTGAGGTTTGCCTTTCTCATGTCTTGTGATCTTTTCCTCAGATGTAGCTGGTGTCTGAGGAGGTTACCTGAGGTTTCATGAGGTTGTGTGTAACACGGGTAAAAAGAAAAAAAGTTTTGATTCTCTACGCACAGTACCAAACAGAGAAATAGGCTGCAGGGTTTAAAAAAAGGGGGGATTTTTGTTTTTTTTGTAATTCAAACTTCTGCTTCATCTTATAAATATTTAGTTAATTGTAATAGTTACAACTTTTTACAACAGGTCTTAGCTACTGTACATGTACTAAATCACTATTATAATAAATATAAATATGTCTAATTCATTTGTTTATTAGATGGCGGTATGTAGATTTAGTAAAAACTCATTTTTATTTGTAAAACTGTTTCAAAGTATCTGGAAATGTATATTTAGAGTTTTAGAAACTATTTTTTAAATTTTGTCAAATGTGCGTGTTTTGTACATTTCTATACAAATATATTAAATTAAACTTCAGTTTAATTGTATACATGAGACCAAATGTCTTAAATTACCTAGCCTAAAACAACTGGTGTACAAATGCACCACTATTACTAGTTTATATATACAGTAATGATACAAGTATATAATGTTATATCTGATTTTTGTTTAATATTCTGTTTTAATATAGTATCAAATGAAACAAAAGTCCAGGATTAAGATTGTCAATTATTTTGTTGAAATGTCTTTAAGTGATCCAAAAAATAGCTCAATGTTTCCTATAAATTAAAAGACAAACATGCAGACAAAAACCATTAGGGTAGCCATAACTATAGATCCTAAAGATTTAGGAACTGCTGAAAGGTTAATGATATCCACAGCAGAAAGCAAACATAAATTTAAATAAAATAGATGTCAAAAACAAGACTAAAAACCTGGACCCAAAATAGTTACTTTCAGAAAAATGTTAACTTAAATCTGAAATATGACTGTGGGCCACATAAAACCTGTCTAAGTGTCAGGGTTGGGCCCCGCTCTGGGCTTCGAACACACCTGATTTATACAGTACATGTGTTGGTGTTTGTCACATATCAGTAGCTTCACTGCCTGAGTCTCTTCCTTCTGCTCCGACCTCAGTTGGTCAGTTAACTTGTGCATCGGTCTGGAGGTTTTCCCACCCTCTGAAGATGTACGGCCTGTACTTGGAAGCAGTCAACGATTACATCAACGAATCCTACGGAGAGGATGTGTGGAGGCTGATCGAGAACCGAGCAGAGATTCCACACCTCAAGTTTGTCAGACATCAGATGTACAAGTAAGACGCCTTGTTCAGGGATCCCTGTTTCTTACTCTAGTAGTTCTTAGTGGACGAGCTTACTGATCCGGTTCTTCTTTGGTATCTGCTCCATGACAGTGACAGACAAGTATCATAAGACAGCTGTTGAATTATTGGCCAATCTGAAAGCAGAATGTTAAAAATCTAGTACTACTAGAACATCATTTCACCTGCAGCCAGTCTTTGGTCCGTTAAAGGCCCAGGACAGTGTTGTAATGTTATGTAACAACTGTACCTAAACACATCATTAATATAAAAACTATAAAATCCCATTCCATTTACTTCACAAACTCATTGAGACATTTAAATCAGAAACATTACTAGCTCCTCAGGTGGTACACTTTCTGGTGATAAACACAAAATGCTAACAAATACTGTGCAGGATGAATGCTGCCCCCTTTGGTAAGACAAAATCACCAGCACTGTACGCAAATATCTGGGCGGTATTGCATGTTGTCTACACCCAGGTTGATTCCAGAAACCGTGACACCGTGACAAACAAACAATCAAAGTTGAATTACTAGATCAAATAAAGACATTCCTGTTAAAGTCAAATATTATGAATTGGTCGGTAAAAATTTGAGGGAGATGGGAGAGACGGTGAATAACGTTCTACTAGTATAATATTGTTGTTTTCATCTGAAAAAAAAATCATCATCAAGTACACCTGTAAAGCTGTGAACCACAGAGCAGACTGTTCACTCACCATTAAATGATCTAAAAAGCATCTCCTCACAACACTGAAATGTAGTCAAATGTTATATTTACATTTAAATGGCCCTTGGCTAAAAGAAAAAACACAGCATAAACATTAGGGTGACAGGTAACAAAGAAAGTGTTATTTACACACTTCAATAAAATTGCCAAGCGAAATACAGCACTATAAAAATAGCCCAGCTCAAACACCTTTGCTATTTTGTTGTTTCTTTTCTTCACTTGTTTCATTGTTTGGTTGTTTACGTGTTTACTGCAGTGATAACCTGATCCTTCGACTGGCAAAAGCTGCCGGCGAGGTCCTGGGAAAGACCCACGATGAGCTGATGTACGCCTTCGGGGTCTACATGGTGAAGAGGATTGGAAACTATGGATACGAACGTATCCTGAAGGTGATGCAGTCATCCTTCCCTGTGACTGGCTGTCAAAGGCGGAATTTTAAGACATATTCCGTGCACAACCTACTCACTATTTTTCAGAGGTTTCCCAGTAAAATGCCCTCGGGCACCAGGGCTGGGTACAGTAGGGGTTTCATATTTCCGAGTAAATGCAATAAGAAGGCATTCGGTGACTTGTATATGGTGTTGACCAGAATGTGGGGAAAGCATTTGAAATATTGTAGCAAATTCCATTTCCTGGAGGTAAATAAAAATGTGATACACTAACTGTAAATGGAAGGGAGAAGTGTTTCCTGCCTGTACAGCGTCAGTGTATTAAGAATGACCCTTAAAGGTATTAAAACTGAGTTTTTGACATTATTCTATCAGACATCATGGGGCTGAGTTACACATTCTATTTTGAATAACTGATATTATCAATTCTCCCAGGTGCTGGGACGAAATGTACGCGACTTCATCAATGAACTGGATAACCTCCACGAGTACTTTCGCTTCTCCTTCCCCAAAGTCCAGCCTCCGAGTTTCTGCGTGGAGGAGGAGTGTGAGACCAGCCTGACTCTGCACTACCGCAGCACCCGCAAGGGCTTCACACAGTTTGTCAAAGGTAAGAAACGAGCACGGCTGAAGAAGACGCTGTGATACAACCAAACAGGAAGTGAGGAGAGAACAGGTGTATAATAAACTAGGCTTTGAAAGACCAGATGAAATGTTAAGTGGTACAGAATCAAACTCATGTATTGTGGTTTAAACTTCTGCATGTTCACATTAAGACTGAACTCACCTGTTTTAGTAACACGTTAGCCAAACATGTAACATGTTAGCCTGCTTTCAACAGGCAGAAAACAGACTAATCAGCAACTTGGACTCTGAGCTGATCTTCAGAGCAAACTATGTATTAATATTCTATGCCACAAACATGTTTTATTTATGACCAGTTACAGGACTGTGTGATATCCTCTTACAAACCAAACCATAGAATTATTTCAAATTAAATGAATTCCCCCGAGGCAAAGAAAGAACTTAACGCGATGAACATCAGCGAGCTTTCTTACGTCTCTCTGTATTTTCTATTCTTTTTTGCAAGTGTTTGGCACATCCTCTAGAGTAGGGGTTCCCAACCACTGGGCTGGGGACCATTACCAGGGTTCATCAATTGTTACACGGCCAACAGAAAAAAATAAAAGTATATAATTCAGTTTTATTTTGAAGAACTATCACTGATGTTTAAAAATGAAAGGTATTTTGTATTCTGTTGTGAAAAGTTGAAGAGTTTTTTTGAAAAAGCCACCATGAAATGAAGGGACAGGTCATAGACTCTCGTTCTGCTGGAGAAGCCCTGATCAAGGGTTGAATCTTTTTTCAAAGGTGGAATTTTTGTAAAGGCCTTTCATTGAATACATGAAATATTAAAAAAATATTCTGAAGGTTTTGAATGTTTCTGCTTTTCATTGGCTTGCACTGGTAAGTATTTCATTTTACATGCAGTAAGCGACCGTATTTAAAGTTTTCATATTTTCATGTTGTCGATGGTCTTGAAATTTCATGAACATTGAATAGTGGAACATGAGGTATGAAATTAACATTTCCGGTTTTATTGGCAACTTAAAAGTCTCAAAATTACCCGATTATTCAGGACAAAGCAGTTGTCACACCATCAGGTAGGAAAGTCATTTCAGGGAAAGTCGCAAAATCCTGACAAAAACACTATTCTACTCAGAGCAGCTTTGAAATTAGACTCACAGAATCTCGTTTAGACTGAATTGCTCATAAGCCGTAATCCATAACCATTGTGTGTGTGTGTGTGCCTGCTTGATTGTCTCCTGCAGGACAGCTCTCTCAGGTGGGCCGGCAGTTCTACAACACAGACATTGAAGTGGAAATCCTGTCTAAGGAGGAGACAGAGAAGATGACATACGTGGTACGTACTCAGACAGAGGTCAAGCATTTGTGGAGCCGTTGAGCGGTGTGACCTTGCTCCGCTGTCACTTTAATCAGTGAGGAAATGAGTCCATCACCTTTCAGCGAGGCAGCGAGCAAGGTTCTTGTTGGCTCTCAAACAGATACTGTTAGATTTGGGGCAGACATGAGTGTTTATTGGACGGTGAGTCTGGAATCATCAGGTCTGACGTGTGCAGCATTAGTCGTGTCAGTCTCAACAAATCAGCTCTGGCTGATTCCTTTAGGGAAAAATATCTGTCTACTGTTGCACCAACCATGTCTTTATCCACTCTCCACTCCAACTTCCTGCATCTTTACCTCCAACTTCCTGTATCTTTACCTCCAACTTCCTGTATCTTTACTTCCAACTTCCTGTATATTTACTTCCAACTTCCTGTATTTTTACCTCCAACTTGCTCAATCACATCTTCACCAGCTTTCTAATCCTGTCCTATCATCCTTAACTCCAGCCATGACAACGAACTCTCTACAAATCCATACATCATAGCAGGTCTCATTCAGTTCATGTGCATAAGCAAAGTACAGAATTCCATTCCTACGCCACAACGTAACTAGATTTTCACCACATGTCAAAACTCACATACTACCTATGTCACTCACCTAAGACATAAAAACACTACAGAAGTCTAAATTATGTTTGGGCACAATCCAATGTATAGTGTACACCTGGAGGATGTAAACAAAGTAGTCTTCAACGTATAGCACAGCATGACAAGGTATTCGTCCGCTCACTCGACAACGACAACGAAATTTGTTTTACTGCCATGTGTTGGAATGATGGATCAAGGCTTTCTTAATAAATTCATGGGAGATGTAACTATGAAAGCAGCAGGTTGAGGACGTTGTAAACCGAAGAGCCCCTGTACGAAAAAAACCTATGTCACAAAGTGTTTCTGTGTTTGTCCAGGTTTATAAGATGAACTTTGACAACGCAGCCTTCAAGCACCGCATGCCCCAACAGAAGACTGCGCCAAGCTACGAGAAGCTGCCCATGAAGCGGGGCATCTTTTTCGACATGTTCCCCTTCAGTGTTATCTTCCGCCGCGACATGACCATGTACCGCATTGGAGATGGCCTCAAAGAGGTCTTCTCTGACCTCCAGGGCAAGAAGGTCAATGAGGAGTTCACTCTGGTCAGGCCCATGCTAGAGTTCAGCTGGGATAACGTGAGTTCTGTCTGGAGCAGGTCTTCATCTCCACATCTGTGTCCGTTCTTCACATGCTCAAAACCACAAACGTCCTGTTGTCTTCTTCTGGTCAGATTTACACCCATTTAAACAACGTGTTTGAGCTCTTGTCTAAAGCCGTGGTGGAGAGCAAGCAGAAGGTCAACATCCCAAAACTGAACAAAGAGGAGCCAGATGAGAAGGAGGAGAGCGAGAAGGCAAAAAGGGAAGAAGAAAGAGGTACCGCTCTGTCCATTTCAGTCTTTCATCCGTTGTCTCACTTTCACTGAGCAGACTGAAATAAAATATTCATTATACTCAGGCAAGACTTGTGATCAGAGTAAGAGCGCAGCCAAAAGTAAAATATGTTCTTTAAATATTTAAATAGAAGAGAGAAATGCTTTACTTTTTTCTCTCTCTGTGTGTGTGTACTTGCAGCTACAAATTAAAACTAAATATTTTGTATTTTGCTTTGTCCTGATAATAATCACTCTCAAACATTTATACACTGCTGAACTGACAACCTTCCTGTTCTGTGACTGCTGCTGCAGAACAAAAGGCAGTGGAGGAGATAAAGGGCACGGACCAGGAGTACAGCAGTGCTCTCACCCAGTACAACAGCTCTGCCAACTCAGGGGGAGAAGACATTGAGCTGCTGGCCTTCCAGACTGTGACTGGTCAGAACTATTTTAACTTTAACCCTTGCAGCATATGCATATTTTAACCTGGCTCTCAGGGTGTGTGTTTTTTATTTTTAATCCAGTTCAAATTTCTGCTTCAAATTCTATTGCTCTGATTTCTAAGGAAAGTGTAGCGAGACCATATTTGAGGACATGCGGGAGCCTCCCAAGAAACCTCTCCATCTGAAGGGTCAGATGAAGTATGTCCCCCAGTGGGACTCCCTCATCTTCCTGGGCACACCCATGTAAGCCAACATTATATCTACATTCCAAAAAATAAACCATAAATCTATTAGATTTTGCAGGATTGGGTTTTCCAAAAAATATATAGAAATATTTTTCAGTAAGCTGTTTAAAAATATATACTGTAAAATGAGCCCTAAATCTTCATGGGAAATCAACCAATGAAATGCATTTATATTCAGCAACACAGAAACATATTTTTAGATGTAATGCCTGCCCTCTAGAAATGTACTCAAAAGCTATGCTGTGACAACATTAGGGAAAGTGGAAATGGAAAGTGTGTGTATTTTAGATGCATTGAAATGCACTCATTTTAAACAGCTGAAAAACACCCGGTCCGTAAAGATTAAAACATTGATTATTCTACGGTGACCTATATATATATATATATATATATATATATGACACGCTAAAGAGCAGGGGTCTCCAACCCCTGGTTCGGGGACCCATGCATGTGGTACCAGACCACAGTTGGACACAGTGACAACATGTACTTCAGTTTTACTAACATAATCTGACAATGTTTTAAAACTATAGGTCATTGAGACCTAGATACTAAAAGAATAAAGTCTAAAAGATGTTTTATTTTGAAAATGTAATTACCTTTCAACGATGGCGCGTTACTACCGGTCTGCAGTCACAGATAATACTGGTTGACCAGTCCTTGGTACAAAAAAGGTTGGGGGCCGCTGCTAAAGAGCATACTTTTTAAACTTAAATGAATGTGTTTTGTTGACGGTACCAGCAAAAGCTTGAGTTTTCTTATTGCTGGTAAACAGAGTATTTCTGTAGATGCCAATGTTAAAATATCTCAATGTCGGGTGATATTCACAAAGAAGGGGATTTCTGAAAGAGAGGAAAAGAGGAAGCACAACAGCTGCCTTGTCCTAGTAAAAAAAAAAAAGAAATCCGTCTGTCTTTTGAATGCCTGCTGTCTGATACTGCTTATCTATTTTTAGAGGCACAAAAAATAATAGAAGTAAAAAAATACTAAAAATGTTGCTTTATATAGTAAATAGTAAAAACAAGTAACATAACTTGCACTCTGCAAGTGCGTAACTCGTCTCTCAAGTTATTCTTAGTCTTAGTGAAGCAAACAGACGCAATTATCATAGAACTGTTTACTGTGGAGTTTCTGTAACTAAATGAAGCAGTTCCAGTTTCTTTTTCTTTTGTCTGTTTCTCATGGCAATAATAATGAAATGCAACACTTCCTCCATATGTTTCACATCCAGACATGTTCAGCAGTTCAACTGGTGTCTTTTCTTGTTTTTCTCACAGTCTGTTTTTAGTTAAAAACAAGTGTTAGATTTCCAAAAAATATAACATGAATACCAATTAAGAATTTGGGGGTTTTAAAACCTCTAATATATATATATATATATATA